TCGTTAGCTCGTGTCATACGTACTAAATACGAGAAGATTAATTTCGCGTCACCTCATAGAGGCACTACCTGAAGCTCGCGACCATACAATGGAGACTGCTAAACAGCAAGCCAGTGCAGGGCAGGCAATAGGAAGCGATGCCCTCACTGATGTGTTTGTCGCGAGCGCATGCCCTCAACTCCCTACTCATTGTAAGTTTTCCCAAAGAATCCCCATTAGCAGTGGCGTTACATCATGAAACGGCTTGAAACGGGTCAGTATGCACAGTCCCTCACAGTGAAGTCCATCCCTCTGTAAATGCACAGCGTAGTAGTACACCGCACGCCTACCCTCTGTGCCGTGAAGCGTCAGAAAAGAAGTGACCTTCCACCGTATCTGGAATCCCTTTTGTACCTTCATTTATGCTGCAGTTGCACCTCACGGCACAGGTAGAGCATAAGAAGAAGACGCAGAATTTCTCTGCGCTTTTGTTTAAGGGATACCGTTGCAGCTGCATCTCTGGAACGAGATCCAAGATGGAAAAAAAGCTACGCAAAATTTCCTGTGCTCCCTTGTTCCACAGATGCAAAGTTCACCCGTAGCCTTCACAGCTGCTGAGAGGATAACTGACTCAAATGCTTCGGCAAGGATCTTCTCGCTCTGCCACGCATATGGACAGAAATAAATTTTCAGAATTGCATTGCGAATAAATGAAGGGACGCACGGTGAACCTCCTGGGATGTACCGAACAACGCTGCTCTCCCGACTTGGCCACTAGACTGCCCAGATGAAACGTTGACCATAAATGCTGCAAAGGTAAACGGGGCGAAGTCCCGCAGATAACCCTCTAGCAAAACACTTCGCTGGCCCGCTTCAAAGTGTGCTGGTTCCTCGGCTGTGTAACATTCGAGCTGCACTCTCAATACTGCAGGTGCCACTACACCAGAGGACGCCAGCAGAATAATGGAGCAGTCCTCGCATCAGTCCTTACACGCGAGTTGACGACAGCTCTTCCCTAAAGTAGAGTCATCTTAAGGCAGGCACCCTACGCGCACCAGGTTGCCACCTAAGCTGGGCGACCACCCCGTTGAGGACCCCACGTTTGGAAAGCGCAACCTACTCGCTGGCAGGCAGGGCAAGCATTCTCTTGACAGCAGATTATTTGGCAAGCTCTCCACGCGCACTGCTGAGCAAGCGCATGCATCCACCAAGGCTAAGCAGATGTGTAACATTCGAGCTGCACTCTCAATACTGCAGGCGCCACGACACCAGAGCAGAGGATGCCAGCAGAATAATGAAGCCATCCACGCATCAGTCCCTACAAGAGATTTGACAACAGAAAGTCTAGTCATCTTAGTCATCTTAAGGCAGGCACCCAACGTCCACCAGGTTGCCACCTAAGATGTGCGGCCGCCCCTTTGAGGACTCCATGTTTGGAAAATGCAACATACTCGCTGGCAATGCAAGCTTTCTCTTGACAGAAGATTATTTGGCAACCTCTCGACGTGCACTGTTGAGTAAGCGCATGCCTCCACCAAGGCTAAGTCCTCCCTGTTACTTCTTCCCCAGTGGTTTCCCAGCCCTTCTAACCATGCCACTGCATGAAGCTTCCCTCAGTTGCGCAAAACCCCCACTAAACGCACAGTTCGCCTCGCGTCATTTTGCGTAGCCCCTTTGCCATGCAACTTCCCAGCTAAGGTGGAGTCGGGATCTTCCCCACCACCCCACCATGTATCCGATGGTCTACACCCCTGAGACGCTATGGAGACTGTGCGCCAGGAACATGCCCACACTTCAGTGCTCAAGGTAAAATACCTGGTAGTCTTCATATGTGTTTGCAGACGCAGGATATGAACTACAGTTAAACAACTAAAACTGCACTCCAGTAAAACAGTACAGGCTGCATCCAAAGGAAACGTTGAACTGATTCCTGAATCCACCGTCAATGAATTCCTTCAGTTACAATTTTTCACTACTTGGCCAACACAAATATGTATCGTCTTCAGCCGCTGTTGTTACCATCCGAACCTGGCAGTACCGGGTTGCACCAAGGCACGCGAAGTCTTCACAGTTTTCCGCCTGAAAGCAAGCATCGATGGCAGTACACCAAGGGTATGTAATTACTTTGCTCGTGTTTGTCGTTGTCTTTGATGAACGTATTGGAAACCGCCCCACAAACTCCTCAGGAGCTCATAGACCGGCACGCATGCAATGCCAAAACAGCGCAAAACGTACAGGGGAAGCTAAACCTACCTCTACCTACCTCAGAGCTGAAGCAGTCCCCACATCCGGTAGTACTTTGCTGATCCCCTAGGATCTACCGCGCAGTTGAGCGTGCTGAATGAAAAACCCATTGCCCAGCGCTGCTACCATGGCGAGTAGTCTAGGCGCAATGCCCCCAAATCCCCTCACGGCTGCTGCTAAATGCTGCAGCCTTCCTCATGTTGGTAGATTATCAATAACACTGCCGAGCGAACAGGAAACGTTATTCTAGTCCGGCAGGCCCAATAGGCATCAAGCGAACTTTGCGAACGCTTCCGTGTGAGGGCTTCAAGTGGCATAGCCAATGAAGTTACCTATGGGGCATCTAGTAGTACAGTATTCCCACCCCACATGACGCGGCATTTCATATTAATAATCACGATAATAACATTTGAGCATGTGCGACCTACTGCAGACACGCTCAACATACATGCATCCCCACATGTCCCGGCCCATTCTTCCACAGAAGACGCCCCATACGAACACCGCATATGAATTAAGCTTGGCAGTAGGCTAACGCTTTTTTTCCTTCGCCTATACGAGTTGGAGGCGGAAGAGGAGATTCTGCAAGTGAGGACAAGAACCGTTGCAAGCTGTCTGCGTCTTGCTAGATCCATCAGCCTCAGTTTGTGCATGCTGGACAGAACACCTCCCAATTAACACATCGTATATGCTGCATTTGCTCGTCTGTAGTTGGTGTGCATTGAGATAAAGGCGTTCACGCTTCTTCGTCCGGGTTGTCAAGCGTCCGTCAGTTGACTCGATGCAGTGCTCGTCTGTTCTAATAACTGTTCGCCTTCCGCGAAAAATCCAACAGCAACAGTAACATTCACAATATGCCAGAAAGCACACAAGTTGCAACATGTACTGCCATAGCGAGATAATTCCTAGGCTTAATTGACTCAGTTCACACAGCCAAAAAAGGACATAACCTCCCCCAGTCGACATTGTGCGTATGACGGTGCTCCTCTACCTCTAAGCACCATGTCCTTCTCCCACTACCCATCAGATTTGCTAGTGACACGCCTGACGCTAATCGTCCCTGCTGTTCCTTTGTCTATAGGCTCGCAGCATGCATTGGTGTGGCAAGCATCACAATAGAATGTAGCTACCTTCCTCACGCTCACGCTCACAGCGTTACAGCTTGCACCATGAAGATGAAACGCAGCCCTTTCTGCTGCGTAAAGCAGTTGTGCATGTGCAAACCATGGACTACCGTTGCATTACCTCTGCCCAATTCAACAACCTTTGCAGCAACTCCTTGCACATACTCTGCATTAATTAGGTTTGGCATCCAGCAACCCTTGTCCCGTCCAGGACTCTCCCTTTTCCCTTTAACCCTATGTCCTAAACTCTAAGCAAGTACACATGTCAAAATCCGTGCATATTTTCGGTTTGCCAATCATATAAACGTTTTCAATTTGTCAATTCTAGTTTCGTTCTCTGTTAAAAAGGCATGCGATTCTCCGTGGTGTTGGCGGTGGAGGGTTATGTAGCGGCTTCCACGAGATGCTCACCGTCATGCATCTCACCGAACAGCAAGAAACAAACGGTACATGCCACAAGGGTGCCGCGTTTTTGCCCATTTGGAAGTAGAAACTCTCAGCAGTACGTGCAATGCGCGTAAAAAGGTGAACCATGGCTGTATGCACTGAAGCGCTACTAGCGCTTCTTCCCTGAACCTTTTGTGGAGTGTTATGTAATGTACACAAAAACCCCCATGCATGCCGCGCTTACAGACGGTTCTCCTTGAGATCACCGCAGAAGCAAACGCTCCCTATGCAACCGCTCCCTATGCAACCGCTCCAGCCAGCAGCAGCTGCTGCAGTACTCTTGACGTACTAGACAGGGATCGTGATCTCCAGTTGCAAGCCTTCGTGTTTGAAGTTTGTTGACAGGCCCTTTCTTTTTATCGGACAGTTTTTTGAAGCAGAGCATTATGCTGAACACCAAGGCCAAGGTGAGCGCCAACGCCATCCGCTTGAGGAGGGTTGGTATCGGGGATTCATGTCTGCTCCCAGGGGTGGCGAGTCTCTTAAGTTCAACTGCAGCCGAACTGACATCAGGGGACTGGACATGAATATCATCTGCAGCGGCATATTTCTGAAATGCAACAACGGCCGACGGAAGCAGACACGGGTGAAAAAGAAGCGGAACGACGCGCCTCATGCTCACTAGGAAAACGACTTTGGCTTTCGCAATAGGTTCTAGATAAAATAAGAAATAATCATTTTAGACACCAATAAAGTGTTAAAGTTAAATTTTGCTGCGACCGCCCCTGGGACGCCTCCGTCCAGTGCATGCAGTCGGAGGTTCAATGTCGGTATAGACTGCCTAGCTCCACTGGTTTGCTCTGTTACTGTTCAGAACGAAATCTAGTAGTGAAGCCTACAACTACATGAATTTAAAATAGTATTAAAATTAAATTAAAGTTAAAAAAGCTGGTAGGTTATCGGCAAGTCAGCGCAATACAGCCAATTGGCTATATGTACGACGGGCACTAGACTGGTACCCGCGCTTCCACGTCGGCAGCTGAAAGAATTGGCTCAAACCCGTACAAAAGTGAGTGTGATTAGTACTGATAAATTCGTAAATTTGTTATTCATAATATTATGAGTTAAAAAGATGTGTTTCTAGTGCAGGGTTACCGCATACTGTCTGTGGCTAGGCAAGCCACTATGCTGTCCACCATGGAAGGGAGACGCGGAAGACGCGGAATTTCTATTCTCGATTTCAAACCTAAAATCCTAGATGGCTTAGTAATATTTAATATTTTAGCAAATTATGCAACTTTTGGACAGTTAACAATTGCCTAAAAATCGGTTTCGGGGCTCATGGCCTAGGCCTAGGGCCGCCGGTCCTAGCAGAGAAATGTCGTAATGAGTTGCAAGTGGCTCAAGTAACTTAACATAAGATTCATTAACAGCAGTTTACGAATCCTCTTATTGCTTTCAGGCGTCCTGGGAGAAGCGTCCCAAGGGCCTGGGGCCGACGGTGCAGAGAGGGAGTGCATTCTATCGTTTTGTTGCAACAGAGCGTGTTAGAGTTCCTGCTTCAAGGCAACCCAGTGTATAGGCATACACTATCACCCTCTCGTTGCATGCGCTTACACCATAGACAGTCTGTTAAACACTGAATTAGGTCCAATAAGCACAACATACACGCAAAATGTCTGACCATGCCAGCCGCCCCTCTCCAGCACCTGCACTGCAACTGCATTTGCACAGCTGCAGTAGCGTAGCTGCTTCTCTAATTGTGTAGCATTAAATAGCGAATCATGTGATGGTTTCATAATTCAGCTGAGCATAGATCTAGGAAGAGATCGTCAGTGATGGTGGAGCAAAAGTCAGCACTGGATATCTTTCCTTCGGTTTTCCTTTCGGACAATGGCAATTCCCTTGAACTTGTACAAATTTGTACACTTGTGAAACGATCCAACTTCGATTATTCTAAATATATTTAATATCTAACACTGCATCATATATATAGAAACAAGTCTTATTCACATTCAGCTTTCCAAATATGTTTAATATCTAATAGTACATCATATATAGATATGAATTTCATTCGCATTCAGATTTCCCTCCTCTCTGCAGATATCTGCAAAAAGGCTTTCCAGTTATCAGTGAATCCTCAAGCTAAGAAGTTCAGCACCTCTCTAACGCATCGCATCTAGAGAAACCACACAAGCACACTTCATAACAACAGGGAGAAGACATATTCCATGCATCCACTGCAAAACATTGCAACGAAATGTTGAAATTCAACGTCTCGAAGCGATCTCAGCAGTGACGCGACTTTTGAATGGCTTCCATAAGCTGCCCCTAGAAACACTTCACCATTAAAATGCGTGTGTTTAATGTTGAACACAGCCAAGTACATCAGAAACAGCGAGAATAGTCTTGAGACAAAGCAAAAAAAGACAAAGCGTGTCGTTAAAGAAGCCCTTGTTAGGCTCTAGAAGTTGAAACGGCTTCATATCGTTTCATTCTACGGCATATACTACCTCTTTGACTCTCCTCGTCATTCAAAGAGGCCACTCTAAGGCAATGCCCTCCATCTGCACTGGGAGAGCTGCGTAACACCTGCCTGTTTCAGCACGCCTTTAGTGAGTGTTTTCGGCAGTCTTTGCATATCCTCTGGGTATTTCAGCGCTACAGTAAGTAGCAAACCTTGAGCAAAGGAATCTAATGAAGAAGAGGCTTCCAACTCACAACCACTCCTTAGCCGATGCTGCTCGCTGCATGCGCCTGTTGCAGATTGCGCAGAAAAACGCTGATCCCTGCTCAGCTTCAGATACTGCCCAAGTGCACAACGCAGGAAAGCGGATACCGATATAGGCGAGAGGCTTGCGCCTCTAGCTGCTGTACGAGAACTTGCTGCATTACTTTTGCTGCTGTATTCATCTCCTTGAAGGGTTATTGTGCCGTCAATGTACGGGAGCAGATCCAGCTGTACAAGCATCCGCAGCACATTCAATACCTCTATCTTGCTGAAACGTGCATGATGCTGCATGAAGTGGCTGGCGATTGCCTGCACAGCCTGCAGCAGCTGCTCAACCTGCAGCAGCCGTTGCCGCAGCAAAAGAGGGCAGCTGCGAGCTTCCCAGCTTCCTTCGCTCCGAGATGCGTTTGCTGCTACCTTCAGATCAAGCAGCAACAGCAAACGAAGCCCTTCTGCTATTTGTCCTGCATCTGCAGGCTCAGCAGCAGCTAGGGTCGCTACCAGAGGCAGCAGCAGCTGCTGCACTAGCAGCTTCTGCAGATTTAAATACAAAGGATCCCTCGGCTGTACAGACACGCACGAGGCTTTAAGGACCTTTGCAGCAGCCCAGAACACAGTGCACCAGCTCCCATAAGCTGCAACTGCCTCAGCAAAAGCAGTTGATACTGCTGCTGCTGCTGGTGCTGCAACTGCTCCTGCTGCTGCTGCTGCAGGACAGCTGCTAGCAGCTGTTGCTGGTGCTGCTGTTGCTGCATCTGCATGGCAGCTGCCAGTAGCAGAATGGGCATGAGCTGCTGCGGTGCTGCACAAAGGGGTTGCAGCTGCAGCTGCTGCAGCAGAAAAGGCGGCAGCAGCACTGTCCTTGCTGCTTCCCTTGCTGCTTCCTCCCCCCTCCCTAGACCCAAACAAACCCCTGAAACTCCACTCTCCTTTAAGGCTTGCACTCGAAGAGAGAGAAGCAACAATACACTCCAATAGAAAACTGAGGCCCCCTCTATCTAAACTAAGGCCGGAAGCAGCAAGAGAACGACAGATAACGGCGAGAGATGCTGCGCTCATCTGCACACCTGTACCCCTCCTTGATGCTGCTGCTGTTGCTGTTGCTGCTGCTGCTGCTGCAGGCGGCGCAGCAGCAGCAGCAGCAGCAGAAGCAGCCTTTTGCATGCGGCGTGAGTGTTGGCGGGGAGTAGCAGGGACCCCAGAGAACTCCTTATCAAAATCTGGGCCACACAACTGCTGCTGCTGCAGCTGCAAGTGCTGCTGCAGCTGTTGCTGCTGCTGCTGCTGCTGCTGCTGCAGGCTACGCAGCAGCAGCAGCAGCAGTCTTTTGCGAGTAGAGTGCGTGGGTGCTGCTTTGACAGCAGCAGCCATTGCAGCCCCTATGAGGCTGTTTACCCCCTTGTGGGGCCCCTGCTCTTCAAGTTGAGTCTTAGGGGGCCCCTTCCGTGCTGCTGCTTCTTTCAGCAACAGCGTTGCTACTCTGGGAGCCAGCAGCTGCTGCATGCGCCGCAGCAGAGCTGCTGCAGCAAGACGGTTTGCTGCACCGAAGTTGGCAGTTGCATGCAGCTGCTGCGTGCGCCCAGAAGCAGTGGGGGCCCCACAGGGGGGCCCCCTTACACCCTGATGGGGCTGAGAAGCTAAGGAGGTTGTGGGGCATGTCAATGCATGCAAAGCTTCGTTCTTGCATGCGGGATCCACAACAGCAGCAGCAGCAACAGGTGCATACGGTGCAGCAGCGCGCAAGGCAAACGGCTGGAGACTGGCAGCAGCAGCAAACACCTCGGGGGCTGGCTGCTGCTGCTGCAGAGGCATGCAGCTGCTGCTGATGCCTTCTTGCGTAGAGAGCAGCACACAAGCTTGAGCTGTACGTACACAAGACAGCAGCGAAAGGTTTCTTATCAAGGTTTTGTTGCATGCCAGCAGCTGCAGCAGCTGCACACTGACAGACAGAGACAGCCGTAACAAGGGCCCCTCCACCCGCGCTGCTGCTGCTCCTGCTGCTGCTGCTGGTGCTGGTTCTGGTGCTGCTGCTGCTGCTGCACCTGCAGCTACGGCCGTAGAGGCCCCCCGCTTCCTTTCTAATGAGTTGTTTAATTCGTCAAAGGAGGCAAAAATAGAAGAAGAAACATCTGCAGACAGTACATCTGTTGCTGCAGCAAGCTGCTGCCTGTCTCTACAGACACCCGACAGCACCTGCTGCTGCTGCTGCTGCTGCTGGACACCTGCTGCTGCTGCTGCTGCTCCCTCAGCAACGCTCTGCTGCAGCAGCAAAGCAGCTAGCTGCAAACCCAAAGCGGCCTCTTGCGCTCTGATCCCGGCCGGTTCTTGTGGCTGCTGCTGCTGCTGCAGCAGCAGCAGCAGGCGCTGCAGCGCTGCCGACCCTAGTGAAGGCGAGCAGCAGCGCAGCTGCGCAAAGTCGCAGCACAGCAGCAGCAAGTGGTGGAGAGGGAGGGCTTTTGCTGCAGTTTGCATGCAATCTGCAGCAGCTTGCAGTTGAGCAGCTACGGGAGGAGGCAGCGGGCAATAAGGAGCAGCAGCAGCAGCAGCAGGCATTGAATTGCTGCTTTCCCTCCTTGGGGTACTGTCTGCTGCTAAGGGCTGCTCCTGCTGCTGCTGTTGCTGCTGCTGCTGCAGCCGCTGCAGTCGCGCAGCTGTTCGCTGCACATGAGCCCGGAGGTCCCCCAGGCGGCGAACTCTTGCAACAGCGGCCCTCGCGTGGGCAACAGCAGCAGAAGCAGCAGCAGCAGCGGCTGCTGCTGCAGGTGCTGCTGTTGCTGCTGCTGCTGCTGCTGCAGGTGCTGCTGCTGCTGGTGCTGGTGTTGCTGCTGCTGGTGTTGCTACTGGTACCGCTGCCGTTGCTACCATTGTAGCTGCTGTTGCTGCTGCTGCTGCTGTTGCAGCCGTTGTTGTTGCTGCTGCTGCTTCTGCTGCTGCCTCTTTCAGCTGCCGTACAGCTGCAAGTTGCTGTGCATCGATTATGTGCAGCAGCTTGAGAATATCTTCTGGTGTCTGTACACCGCAGCTGCTGCTGCCTGCGAGATATATACACTTGCATTCTGGTGCTGTTGCTGCTGCTGCTTCTGCTGCTGCTTTTGCTGCTCCTGCTACTGCTGCTCCTGCTGCTCCTGCTGCTGCATCTGCTGCAACAGGTGGTGCTCCTGCTGCTGCATGTGCTGCAGCAGGTGCTGTTTCTGCTGCTGCATCTGCTGCAACAGGTGCTGCTTCTGCTGCTGCTTCTGCTGCTGCATCTGCTGCAACAGGTGCTGCTTCTGCTGCAGCAGGTGCTGCATAAGAAACAGCTGCTGCCCTCTTGTCTTCATATTGCCTGCTAGAGGTGGTATAAGAACAAGAAAAAAATTGTTTTACGCTAGCGCTCTTCTTTAGATGCTGTGCGTAGATCGAGGAGCAGCAGCAGCAGCAGCAGCAGCAGCTGCTGCTGCTGCTGCTGTGTCTCTTTAGCTGCAGCAGATGTGTAATTGAATAATAGTTTAAAGCAAAAGCTTTAAAATATATTATATTTCGTTTTGCTGCTGATCTCTGTAAACAAGCGCCAGCAACAAACATCAGTGCTGCAAGAAGCCCCCTTATTAATTCTACCCTCCAAACAGATCCTAGAATATGAATACAAGTAGATAATTCATTTTAAAATTAAATTATATTAAAATATATATTATTATATTTTATTTTATGCAGCAAAGTAATCACGCTCTGCAGATATCTTATAAAGATATAAATGCGTAAAGGGGGCCCCTAAGAGGGGCCCCCTCTATGCATTGTTTGTTGAGGGGTTTATAGGCAGATCAAAAGAATCGCAATAAGAATATCGTATTTAAATGAGTAAAAATAAGTAAATAAATAAGTATATTTGTTTATTTATAAGGGATTTTATGCTGTAGAAGAAGAAGGCTTCTCATTAAGAAGCAACAATCATGAGGGGTCAAGAGAGCCCAGGGGGTTCACGAGATAATTTCGGCGTTTGTTTGAAAGGTAATAACAGAAAAAAACTTCAATTAAAGCATTTAAAAACTAAAAAGAGTAAAACTGAAGCAAAAACAAAGACAGAAAATGCAGAAATGAAGGAAGGCCTCTGTCCTATACTCGTACAACAACTTTTTAAACAACATTATAAAGGGGTATGGAGTGACAGCGATGACGATATTAAATTAAACAAAAACGAAAAAATAAACAACAAACAAAACAAAGAAAATATGAAAATTAAACAAGATGAGGGGCCGCTGCACTCTGAAGAAAAAGAACAAGAAGAAATATCGATAAGCAAATGCAAGAAGACGAAAAAATCAAAGACAGAGACGACAATCAAACAATCAGCAGAAAATCTCACAAATAATGCAGCGACACGAAGGCTCAGAGGCATGCCCCCAACCCCAGCCCAGCAGCAGCAGCAGCAGCAACAGCAGCAGCAGCAACAGCAGCAGCAGCAACAGCAACAGCAGCAGCAACAGCAGCAACAGCAGCAGCAGTGGGATGCTCACACAGTAAATGTAACAGGCTTAGAAGACGCTGTTGGGTTTAAAAGGAGGCAGCAGCAGCAGCATCAGCCAGAAGAAGCAGCAACAGCAGCAAAATACAGGGGTAAAAACCTAGGGAGATGGAGTTGCATGCGCAAGCAGAAGCGCGTGCATGCAGCAGCAGCAGCAGCAGCAGAAGCAGCAGATGCTGCTGCTCCTGCTGTTGCAGCAGCAGCAGAAGCAGAGGCAAAGCAACACGCATCATATGGTGCAGCAGCACCGTCGCGGTCGCTGCAGCAGCTAAAAGAGTTGGGGGGTCTTTCTGTCCCTGCGAGTAGCTCTGATAAAACCACTAGCAGCAGCAGCAGCAGCAGCAGCAGCAGCAGCAGAAGCAAACGACAAGAGCCGACAGAAGCGCAAGAAGCTCGCAAGCAATTCGATGAGGCTGTTCAAGATATCCGCAACATGGGTAAGATAACCCTAAACCCTAAACCCTAAACCCTAAACCCTAATTTGTGTATGTATGTTGCTGAGTACAACAAAGAGAGCTGCTTCTGATAGAGCCCACCGAAGCTTCTCGGAGACCTGCTGCAGCATTTACTGTTGTCTCTTTGCTGCTGCTGCTGCTGCTGCTGCTGCTGCTGCTGCTGCTGTTTTCAGTGTATCCGCACTTGGGGCGATTTCAACGCCGCCAATTTTTAAGTGCGGCGTTGAGAGCGATGGGCTTAGGTAAGAAATCTACAAACTACTTTTCTACTTCTTTATCTTTGTAATATATATATATATGTATATATGTCTATATATATATCTGTATATATATATATATATATCCATATATATGTATATATATTTATGTATATGTATATGTATATTTATTTATGTATATGTATATGTATACATCTGTGTATATAATATATATATATATATATGTATATATATGCATATATGTATGCATTTATGTATGTATGCATACATATATATATATATATATATGCATGCATACATTATATATATATGCATATTACATATAATAAGTATGTTTGCTTTTATTGCTCGCACTGGATTTTTTTGTCTGTATGCTGTATATTGCTATTTATTGTTTATTGTTTATTGTTTATTGTTTATTTATTTTTTATTTTCTTCTTTCTGATTTTTATAATTAATATTTTATTGTTTTGAGCTTCTCCTTTGGTGTATGCTGATTATAGATTATTATTTTTTGTTTTGTTTGTTTTTTTATATTATTTGCGATTATTTATTTGTTTATTAATTCCTTTTCTTTTTGTTTATTGTTTTTTATTGCTATTTCGTTGTTCATTGTTTATTTACCCTTTGTAGATAAATAATAAATAAATAACTATATATAATTAAATACAAATTGATAATTATAATAATAACAATATTAATAAATGCATAATATATATTACAGATTATGAGATATAAAGTGTAAATATTCTTGTTGATTATTTATACTTTATCCTTTGTAATATAAATTGTATGATTTATTATATATATGTATATATATATATATATTTATTTATTTACTATTATGATAGTTATTAATATATATTTAACGATACAGAATTTATTTATTTACTATATATATATATATATATATATATTGCATGCATGCATGCATGCATGCATGCAGGT